TAGTGGTCCCCCAGTGTTCCAGATAGTGCGTAATTAGGCATAATTCAAAACCCTGAGTGTCAGAAATAAATAATTAGGTCACTGATTTACGTTTATGTAGGGGTTGTGGAAATTTCTACAAGTTATGGTCTTTAAAATGTATTTAGTTTGAAGGCTTTCTGTGTATGCACCCTCACCACTGCCACCTCAGATCAGCCCCCCACCGCTAGGGACTCAAACCCGGGCCTCTGGCATCACTCAACAGGGACCCAGATAAAGGGAAATCTTTTATCAGCCCAACAGCTGCGGGCCCTGCTATTTCACAGGGAAGGGCAGTGATGTCTCCGCGCTGGTAAGCCGGCTCTCACAACCAATGGTGGCCGTATGTGTTACACTATGGACATAAGAATATTTGTGAGTGGTAAAACAAATGGCATATAAACGAAAAAGTGGAGGCTATGAAAACATTCACAATGTACTATACATAAAGCAAGTGTTCTCGCAACTCTAGGAGGTTTCGTGAAAACGCTACAGAAGTGCCAAAATCGTTTTTGAACTTCAAGCTAACTTTATCACGGTTTAAGAATGCGAGTTGCATTTACAAAATTAAACTGTTTCAAATGTTTAATTAAGAAATAAAAAGAACTTACAGCTTACACAAAAACTCAAACTACAGTATGGAAATATGTGTGAAGAAAAAACAGTACATTTCATTGCTGGTTACCTTATATTTATTTTAAAAAATGAAACAATAAAATAAGATACAATGACGTGTTCCTGCTTAACTCAAACATAGCGTGACTTGAAAAGCTGTAAAAAATGGTTTAGATAGCAGAAAGTCTTTTAAGCATACTGACAATTCAACTTTGTCAGTGACTAAAAATGGCCGCGGGCACTTTTCCTTCCCCCCTAACCCTATCCTACTCGTACATACCCCTATAGTATATTCTCATGTACAAGTAGAATACGGTTGGGGAGGGGGAGAAAAAAGTGCCCGAGGTTATTTTTTTCAAGGTGACAAAGTTGTCTTGTGTTAACAAAAACTACAGTATGCTTAACAGCTGTCCTACTGGTTTAATTCAAAACACTTTATTCAGTGGGGCAATTTAACAGACGCCTCAAGCCTTAAAATGAAATCGTATATATACCACTGAAACAATAATGATGTGTCTGGTCATTATTAACAGTATTAATTTAATAATAATAATTTCAAGCTTCATGTAACTTTTCAGAGTCATTTTTTGACATTGCATTGTCAGATTGTGAATCAATAAAGGCATTTAATTATACACACATTTGCGATTGTAATCAAAATGGGAGTAAAGGGGTTAGACCATTAGACATGCAATACACTTCCTTGTGATCATATTAGAATTATTGTGTTAGTTATTAAATTTTTTTAAAAAAATTAATTAACATTTTAAACACTTTAATTTTGTAAACGCGACATACTTTTTGTACAGATACAGTACAATTACATTCTCCTATTTTCCTGTGGTGTGAAATGAATTAGCAGGTGATTGAAATAACAGTGCACCGCGCACTGAGTAGAATGTTCTTTTTTACAAGTGTAAAAAGAGGCGATACACAACGTGTCTCCTCTATAACTCTTCAGTTTACAGAGAAATTCCACCAGAGCCTCACAACATAGTCCAATAATACTCTTCTTGTGTCTAATTTTTAGTTAAGCAGGATTTGTGTGATAAGCACATTGTTTAATGGAGATGACATTACCCATGTCTATATCACTGTACAACACTTGTTTGAGTTGGAGATTTTGTTAATAAAACAGAGTGCCTTCCAATACATATACTGTAATTACTTCAGGTAGGTTGCTGCGTCAACATGTGTAGTCTGTTGAGGAAAAAGAAATAGGTTTAAACCTATTACTTGTTCATTTACTTTAACTACTGCATGATTTCTTTAGCTGTTTCAGCTAAATGAGGGAAATTAAATCAGTCAGAATCTCAGAGTGCCAATTGTAAAAAATAACCCTTCTTCCCTCCTTTGTTTAGCTTTATTTCGCAAAGAAATCCTTAATCACAATACCATCACTTAATTTATCCAGATACACATATTTAAGCCAGAGCCAACAACAAGCTATAATAGTGGACTATTTGTATGTCTTCACCTTATCAGAAACAAACCAAAAGTAATTCTCCAATCGCGCTTTGAACCACTGGGTGCAGTACTTTGTCCATTACTGCTACAAGGACAAGAAAAGTTTTTTAAAAAGAAAAAAATGTCAACATGTTTCCGAAATGTCCACCTGTGATATTTTAGCTGCTTAGTTACACAATTCCATATTCATATAACTATCAAGTGATGTTAAATCACTATAACATATATCATTTTACAATAAAAGCAAGTTGTGTTCTTTCTATGTATTCTAAGAAAAGGATAAAACATTATAACTTCTATTATATAACGCAATATAAGCTTAATAATGTTAGAACAAGCATGTTAAAACCAGAACCCAATAAGTTACCAAGTAAAAGACTTTGATGCGTAAAATATTTAGTAATAATTAAATTATTTATGATGAAAGTGGGAGGTTGAGTACTTTTTTCAAAAGTAATCTTGCTTTTTGAAAACATACTGACTTTTTAATGTTTAACATGCTGTAATACAGTTTAACATTATTCAAAGTCTTAAGAGTATACAACTTAAATTCTTAATTAGAAAACAAATTTGTGTCCATCTGCCACTGGGGTTCGGAAGTGGATGTTTTTAAGGCGACAGCTCAAATGCTCAAATGCTGTACATGAGACGTTAAGCTTTTTGTTAACCACCTGGTGGTTTAACAAGGTTTTACAAGGTGCTTCCGGATACTATAATCATAATTCAATTAAAATGCAGTATGATGCACTACGCATACTGCGTTTTATGTTAACATGCCCAAAGGGGTTGGGCAGCCAGTTGACCTTGGACCCCTAGAGGACCCCTCTTACTAAGGAGTTTTTGGTTCTCTCCTCCATCTTCTAGTCTTTTCTGTTCTGTATTCACAACATGTACAATATGGTCACTTGCTTTGTTAAGTGCCTTGGGGCAACCTTGTTGTGAAAGCCACTTTATAAAAATAAATTGAATTTAAGTCCCATTGTCAAAGAAGAAAAGTCCAGCAGCATTATTCTCCTGAACCAGCTCCAGTAGGAAACCTAGCATGAAATTTAATATCCCAGAGACGAAATAGTCAAGTTACCGGCATCCTTCTCTGTCCCAGTGTCCTGAACAACATGTCCCTCATTTCCCCCCCTCTACCCTGTTTGTCCCCAAGTCCATTTTTTTGTAGAGGGATGGAAGAAAATTCTGGGGTCTTCCTCCCCTACTCCCAGTCCCTGGTGTCCAAGTGTAGACCTCTTGGGACCAATTGCTGCAGTCTCTCCCATTTTACTTCCTTCTCCAAAATATTTCTTCTCTGCCCTGACTAGGTCTTTTTTAATCCCTTTTAGCACTTGACTCATCTCCAGGGGAGAGTGTCCCAGTGATATGTTGGATTTGGGTAGGGCTAACTGCCCAGAGCTCAGTCAGGAAATGTTCAATTTCATTCTATACTTAGGACCCTCTCTTGAACACAGGCACAGTCAAACCTGTTTAGCAACCCCACAGCAACAAAAATAGTAATCAGTCCTCAACATGTAGAAAACATGGTTAATAACGCACAAAAAATAATTAAAAATGAGGGAGGTTCAACAGTCAAAATGTCAACAGTAAAGGTATCGATTTATTTTTTATTTTGGAAATGTAGAATGGACACAAGCTAGGTCTCTGGCAAGATGTGTAAGTGTGGTAGAATTTACATTTTCAAGAGAATAGTAGTACTGTATTGAAGCAGTGGTGTAAATGTAGTCATTTCTGATTTTGAGTGAGCAGACTTAGATTAAAGTCGCTTAGGAAGGTTCCCTCACAGGAAGAGATTCTTCACATCTATACTTCTTCTCATATGCAAAATTTGGAAAGAAAATATTAATATTCTGTTGCTTTGAATGAAAATTATATCTATCAAACCATTTTCTTACTGCTTTATCCAATACACAGTTGTAAGGGAACTGGAGCCTATCCTGGTAAGCAAAGGGCGCAAGGCAGGATACACCCTGAATTGGATGCTAGTCAATCACAGGGCACACAGAGACACAAACATGCACACACTCATACCTGGGGCAATTTTCCTAAACTTGCAGCTATTTCTGTCTGAACAGGTTGATCCATTGATAATATACAGTTAACATAACAGTTAATATAACAGATACAGTTGAAAATGACACTGTATCAGGTGAAATTTATTTCACAGGCATTCTCCTGAATAAAAAAAGTTCTGAAACTCAAAAATTGATGAATAACAAACGAATGAGAAAGCAAATAAAAGAAGGTCACTCACAAATGTAGCTTTGCAGGAAGCATACCTCTAACAGTTTTGAATCACACTGTTTAAGAAACACAAGCTGTGCAATGGAGTAAATATAAAGATAAAGTCAAAATAAACACTAAAACATCCAGTGTACAAGGTTTAAATATCCTAAAAAATGAATAAAAATCATGTTTATTATGGGATAATGCATGCTAATGATGGAACTGGATGTAAGTGATTTGAAAAATGTGAATAAATAGTGCAAGTGTATAAAGTAAAAGACCTCATAGGAGATCAAGAACTGAAGAAATGAAACAACCCTTCATCACAAAGACAGTGTATATATTGTACCCCACAAATGAGAACTTAAAAAGATTTCTAAGAATGGTACCTGTTAATAGCTGTTATACTGGAGGGAAGTTCTGCTATTATCTAATTAATAAGACAAGTTAACCAACGAAGACACTTCAGTCCTCCAGGAATGAAGTTCATTACTGCAGTAGTGATACACTGCAGTAGTATGCGATAGTTATTTAGCATCATTATAAATATTACATACAATAATAATATTTAAGTAACAATAAAACAATAACATTTTATATTATTATTTATATCTCATATGATTATTTAACTTAACATTTTACTATTTAGTAAAATAAAAAATAAATCTTACCAGTACATGTCCCATTAGAGAGATCAGTAAATCCACTTGGACAACTACAGTCAACAAGGAAGAATCTGCCAACAATAGCTGAGGTAGAAACAGAAAAGGATAAAATAAATTCTTATAGTACCAACAATTTAATGCTTATGAAATTATTCAAAAAGACACTTGTCTATTTGAGATTTACAAAAATAAATAAGTATATTTAGTATTGTTGGTAATTAAATTATGTACTTTATTTTTTCCTACCTGATATCCAGACAGTCAACATTCTTTTACAGTTTTGATGTTAAACCGTAATACAGGAACAGTGTCTCTTCAGCACATACTCAGAAGTCAGCACATTATTTTATTTCCTTCCTTTTTTCTGGGGAAAGGATTGAGTCACAACTGTGTTTCAAAATGTCTATGTGTGTCTTGTGATGAACTGCCACTCGTTGCAAAAGTATCTACCATATTCTGATGTCCATTTCTGTTGAATTACAAATTATGGATAGACATTTTAAAGTGAATATTTTAAATCAAAACTTAAATTAAATGGTCGAAATGGACACTTTAAAAGTAAAATAAGTTTAAACTGCAAAAAGTGCAAAATAAAATTCAATACTAATATATTTTGATTTAATTTGAAGTATTAATATAAATATGAATATTAATGCTCCCAGGAAGTATAGCTTTTTTCCTTAACAAAAGCTGCAGCATAACACATGGAGCATGCTACAAGATTGTAGGAAATAACAAGAATACTTCAGTTAGAGGGCACAAACATCAGGTACACAGAGACCCAGCTGTGTAATGTAATTCCAAGTCTGCAATACAGACTTCAGTGTAGAACAAAAGATATGTAGAAAATGGATCAGCAGGAAGGTGCACAACAGAGGGGCATACACTCCTGGTTACCTACTCCCAGGAAGTATAGCAAAACACAGGACAGCTTACCTGCACACAAAGGGAAGACTCCTCACAGGTGTATGGGTTCACCTAAGTAGATTATCAGAATCTTGCATGTGTACTGCTTTAAACTTAAAAAAAAAGAAACATCCGTATATTTTCAGAGGGATTGCCATGATATTTAATAAAAATAACACTTAGGATGTGAATTATAACTTACAAAAGATAAACTTTATTGCCCACCAGAGGAGATATAGGACACACGGTGCTTCTGTACATCTGAATACATCACAAAAACATTACACTTCACATCTAATGCACTTGCATAACTCATCACAACATGGGCATGACATATTGTACATAAGTAGTTTATTTCAGCATAATCAGTTTACACAGACACATTGCATTTTCCCTTGCCATTTATTTGAATTAATTGAATTAATAGATAAATACTTCATTGATCCCATGAGGGAAATTGCATAAAGGAACAACTTAATATTTGTATCTATTTGATTCACATTTGGATACCAGAGGTAAGAACGCTTGCCAGCGGGAAGAAGTTGATATTCTAAGATATATAAAATTAAGAATATGAAAATGATCTGATATCATTTTTCTGCCTGTCTAATCGTGAATTGTTAAAAAAAACTGTCTATAAAGAGGAGTGCTGCTTCACTCCCATAACCTTCATTACTGTTTGGGCAGGACAGGTTATTTTTCACAATTACAACAAGGTTAAAGAGGAGCATGATTTTCTGTCCAACCCCAGACACTCTTAATCTTTGTAAGCACTCTTAAGCATTTGTAAAAAATACAAATGCTGCTGAAATGGTGGAGCAAACTCTCTCAAGTAGTTCAGCTCAGGATGCTGTCTATGTATATTCCTAAATACTTAAATTATATGAATGAACCCAGGAAATAAGTTCATTGTGAATCACAGCATAAAATCTGAAGATTTATACAGAAAGACCTGCTGGGGGTGTAATCATCAAGCAAAAGCAACATGAAATTAAGATAGACTTAATTTCCAATAGTAAACCAGACCATAACCATCTCCAACCTCTTCCAGTATACATCTGGGCATTTATAGTACACCTCTAATTTTCTGGTTGCTAAACTTTCTCAGTTCAATGATTGCCTGCTTTTCTCCTCCTTATTGCCTGGGCTTATGGATTTCATCCTGGACAGTGTTCCTCCCAAGAATACCTGTTTCTGAGAGACATCATTTGGATGTAAGTATTGGCTTTTATGTCTTATATATATCTTTTTAACGGTTGCTGAGTTATCTGACACATCTTCAGTGGCCACATTATTCTTTTCTACAGTGGGAACTGGTAGCACCATAACTTGTACTTTCCAGGCAATGATCTGGAATGCTCTGATCGATTTTATCCGGGCCAGCTGAAAGCTGTTGAAGAATGGACTTTCCCATCTTACTGTCTAACATCTCTGCTGTATAATATCTGCCAAGACTCCAGATGGGTTGCTCTGCAATCGGGGGATGTGTTCTCCACCTACCCAAAAGTAGATCTTGTCATTCTGGACTTACTTGGCTTAAACTTCATTCTCACCCAAGAAATCAGCTTATCCAGTCTCCTCAGCAATCTGGCTATGCATGCTGCCATCCTCAGCAAGCTCATGAGATCATCTATGTAGGCTCACAGTGGTGGTAACCTCTGCTCTGATGTTTGCCTTGTGCCTCCCACCACCTGCCTTGCTTCAGAATGATTTCAAAGGCTGCCACGAACCGTATTGAAGAGATGGAACTCCACTTCAAGTTGCTGCCAACCTGAGTCCTGTAGCCCAAAGCACATTAGCAAATCAATTAAGTAGTTGGTTACCATTCATTAATTCTGGGATGTAAAAGAAGTTCAGGCCAAATGCAATACATTTGTGCAGTATAGATCTACATGCATTAGCAACGTCCAACCAAATGACATGTAACTTTCTCCCTCTTGGCAGTTTGAATTTGTGCCCAAATCATGGAAAGTGAAAAAAAATGCAACTGTCAATTACCTTGAGGTTTTTATGAGATGACAGCAGAGTTTGCTTAGAGAATATTCCAATAAGATCTTACACTTTTTTCTGTGCAGTCACGTCAGTTAAAGAAAAGTATTCTTGAATTTTTTCTGTTTGTGTTTTACATATTGATTAATGGAAAAATGAAAAAAATCACCATGGCAGATTCTTTAACAGATATTGGTAGAAAGTGACATCTACCACATTTTCTCAACACTTGTAATTCTTATATCATATATATATATATTCATGTATATGAATTTATATTTCAAGCTCTTCATCTTGTGTTTTAAGCTAAAATAAAAACCGTATATCAATCGCAACACAATTGCAACATATTTAACATTTATTGTTGTGCAATACAGATTTCCTAGTATTTCTGTGTCATTCATTGACATCCTGTTTACTTAGCTTTGTTTATTTCATGTAAATATATACCTTAAAGCTTAGCTTTCTGGGGGCATAAGCTATCTAGTAAATGTTTTTTTTTTTACTCATCAACTACTTAGAAAGGAAGCTTTTAATAAAATACACTCTGAAAAAATTCTACATAGCCAGGGATCCAGAATCTATCTCATCAAACAGGTGCAAGGCAAGATACACTCTGGACATGACACCAGTCCACACAAACCTTCAGTGTCAAGGGACACACAGATGTGCACACATTCACATATGGGCCAGGGTTCCCAGAAGTTAGTTAACCCACCAGTATGTGTTTAGACTGTGGGGAGGAAATTGGAGCACTAAGAGGAAACCCACACAAACATGAGGAGAACATATAGTTTCCATACAGATAACACCCAGAGATTTGACCTCAGGGCCCCAGCACTGTGAGACAGCAATGTTAACCACTGAGCCACCATGGCATCCAACAGTTCTACATACATAATATATGCACTGATCTGTCTTTCTTAACTAGAAGTATTTTAATGCCTATAACCTTGGACAAAATTAGGCCATATTTTACAGGCCTCTTATTATTTACCAAAACATAAAATATAAAAAAAATAAAGTGCACAATAGACACTAGCTTTGTCACTGGGAACTAGAATGGTGAAGGAAAAAATGAAAGGTAAAGGAATAAGACAACAAAGAAACCAATAATAGGTTTATTCCATGCTGAAAAAAAGAAAACACAACATTTCCACTGTGGAGCCTTCTTCGGGTGTGAGAAAGACAGGGCAGTAAGAAAAGCTAATGTAGCATAGGAGAACAAAAGCTGGGAGAGAGGAGGGACCGGAGGTGGGAGCCGGACAGAGTGGCCAATCAGATAGTGTGAAGTCAGGATAGGTGAGGAGAGGTGTAAAATGAAACCAACAATGAATAGAGAGAATTCAAAAGAAAATGAGTCTGCAGTTAAGAGAGGAGGAAAGGTGTGATCCTAGCTGCAGGATACTTTTAGTTTCAGTAGTCTTTCTGATGTGGGAGTTAGGAAAACCATCTATGAGAACACATACGGAGAGATTAGTGTGATCATGGCTTTCAGAGGTGAAATGAGAAACAATTCTTGGAGAAATCTTTAATCTTCACAGCCCTAACATGTTCTCTGAAATGGTCTCCAAGTCTCCTTCCTGTTTCCCCAATGTAGATGGCTGGGCATTTACTGCAAGAGATACAGTAAATAAGGTTGCTAGAGGTACAAGATGTCACCTGAGTGATCCAGAATTGTCCTGAGGGGCCTTGAATGAGTTTGGTGTTAGATATGTACTTGCAGGTTATACAGCAGTCTGTTGCAAGGGAAAGTGTCTGGAGTGGATGGTTGCTGAGGGCACTCAAGGGAGCTGTGAACAAAAACGTTACGCAGATTAGGTGGTCGGCGATATGAGATGATGGGGTGGTCAGAAAAGAGGATTTAAAAAGTTGTCGTTAATAGTCCTGGTGATAGAAAGTGTGTTGGGGTGGTAGGGAAGCACCAAAAGAATGCAGTTGTTACGACGGGAGTTCCTGCTCGAGTTGATGGTCCGAGGTATGTTTCTGGGTCAGGCAAGGGCCCTGTCAATAACACTGTTAGGGTATCCTCTGTTGATGAAAAAAGATTACATTTTAAGGGCTTGGTTCTGGAAACCGATTGTGTTGTTGCTGCAGAGTTGTCGTAGCCGAAGGAACTTTGAAAAGGGGAGAGAGTTTTTAGTGTGTTTGGGGTGAAATGAGCTGTACAGGATATACAGTGCCTTGCGAAAGTATTCGGCCCCCTTGAGCTTTTCAACCTTTTGCCACATTTCAGGCTTCAAACATAAAGATATAAATTTTTTATTTTATGTGAAGAATCACCAACAAGTGGGACACAATTGT